CAATGAGTCAAATGAAGTATCACTACGGATCTCAGCCTCTACAAAATGTAATACAAGTCTAGAGTCTGAACATAATCAACTAACAGTGGAGTTCTGAATAACTACTAAAATAGTAAATAGCTAGATGGAATCTATGAAGAAGTCTCATCAGCCTGCGACTCTCCGTGCGCTGGACTCGCTGCCTGAAAGGGAGGAAAACAACGAGCGTCAAAGCGCTATAGTGAGAACATCTCCACCTCTCCCCAGGGGAAGGGGTAGGAGTGTATAGAAAATATAGATAGTACATAAATATAGAATCATTCATGTACATCTAACTGGAGATTAGTATTTAGGAATCCACAACACGAGAGTTAGTACGTCGAGCGAAATAATCCAAACAAGGAAACCCTCACGTATATACTATGTCTCAAATTATGACTCCCTAAATACTAATTCCAAACTCTATGAAAGATAAACAACAAACAAAAAGATAATACTCCAAACCTCAAACCTGTAGAACAAATACCTCATCCTGATGTACTCTCGGGTAGATGGATCTGACATAAAAGAAATTCATCCAAACAAAAGCCAACCACATATCATGTCATATAAGCCACGGTCTAAGAGAAAGCACTCTACTTACGGTTATTCAATATGGAAGCAAAATTATACTTTATATTACTTACAAATGTGCATCTCTTATATATATTAGCGATACTCTTGTAATACTCTTACTCAATCGCTCTGTGGCAATAGGTTTTATCTCCCTATCCCGAAAACATAATATGACGAAACTTTTATAATATTCTTACTCAATCACCCTACGAAAAAAAGGTTTCATCTCCCTATCCCGAAAACATAATATGACGATACTTTTATAATACTTTTACTCAATCACCCTGCGGAAATAGGTTTCATCTCCCTATCCCGGAAACATAATATTTGTATACTTTTCATATTTAGTATGTTAACATAACATATTTTACCATATGTGTACATATCTTGGTGTACGTGTCCATATCTGGTGTTTACTGATATCTCAAATGTTAAACAACTTATAAACATCATATCATAACAGTGTAAGGTCGAGAGACTTGCTCAAAAACTCAACAGTCAATTTTAAACATGCACAGGCCAAAAAAATACACATGGTGGTCGACCGCAATTACGTGGCGATCGACCACAACGTGTTCCAGGGCCTACGTAGGCCTCTGTCCTGCACGCGGTCGACCGCCGCTAGGGCGCAGTTGACCGTGAGCCGAAATTCTAGATTCTCAATCTGGTTGTGTGTGTTGTGTTCACGCCGTGTTTAGGTTATTCAAACATGATTAAAACGATATGAATCTTGCATGGAAACATGTAAACAGCAAATAAAAACTTCTGGGAGCAACACAATGTATATAACATGATAAATTACATGAAATTCATATTCGAAACCCTAAATCATGCACATGAACTTGAAACAAAGCAGAAATCATCTTTCATCAGATTAAACAACATTTAAATCATGTTCAGATCTGAAATATCTTCTGTAAATTCATTCTCAAACCTTTTCACTTGGAAAGACCTAGTCTTTATACATATAATACAAAAGAATTGACTTTTATTCATAAACTAGTCAATTTGGCTCTAATAAACATGTTAAAAACCCTTTAAAACGTTTTAAAAACTAGGAGGGGGATTAGCAGAGATGAACTTACCTGAAACTTGTAGAAAAACATTTAGGATGCTAAGCCAAAGCAGATCTCCAATCCAAATGCCAAAAATCACCCGAAAAATCTACTTAAAAGCCTCCAATATTCTCCAAGAATCAAAATAGGGTTTGTGGGGGTTTGGTGGCTATTAGGGTTCTTATATAAACTGAGAAATTCATGAAAATTTGATATATAAACTAGAGAAAATGAATATGGGCTTTAGAAATCCGAAACCAACTCAAAACGGAGAAAAACTTTCTGCAGGTCTTGCGGTTGATCGTGACGGTCGATCGGACTGGGAATTTCTAGTTCTCATGATTTGACCGTTATGCATGTTTCGACTCTTTCCTTCCTCACGAATGAACTTGTTTATACTCAAAACACATGGTATACTACTCACATACCATTTAACTATATTTATCAAAATAAATATCCATATATCATGATCAATTATATATATATATATATATATATATATATATATATATATATATATTAACTATTATTTATTCAAAATAAATACTCCATATATTCGATGATGCATATATATAATATATATATATATATATATAATATATATATATATATATATATATATATATATATATATTTATATATAGAGAAGAGAGAGAGAGAGAGAGAGAGAGAATAATTGGAGGTGGACCTGGCAGCTTACCTCTCCCATAAGCTACAAATGTATGACATGTGAGCCCCCTACTAGTCAGCATCGGTGTGGGGCTCACATGTCATACACTTACAGCTCATGTGGGAGAGGTGAGCTGCCAGTTCACCTCCATTATTCTCAAATATAATATATATTATATATAATATATATATATATATATATATATATATATATATATATATATATAAATATAGTTATATATATATATATATATATATATATATATATATATATATATATATATATATCACAAATATTTTTGGGGTTTTACAATCGACCTTGTATCTATAAGTTCTAATTAAAATTCTATTTAATCATGTTATAGTATGTATATTAATCCTAGCATGAGAACCCTAATCATCCAAGACTTAAACCTTGATTAAAGTTAAACCAAAAGACAAATAGTTTTCAAAGCAAGATAGATATCACATCTATACAAATTTGACAACCATGAGTGGTGAGTAAAATTTCAAAAAGCAACACATAGAAATTTCCATAATCAAAGATTCCACTACACATGGGTTAGCGTATATAACACTCAATGTCTCCCTTTTTCTCTCCTCCCTGTATAACCCCCCACCCCCACCCCCACCCACCCATCATTCTCATCGTAAAAGAAAATCCTCCACGGACTCCCCATCTTTTCTTCCTCTCTTGGCCTGCCAACTTCAACCCTCTAAACCCACCATTCTCTTGTCAAAAACTTAAGTATAATATTTGAGTTTCCACAATTAATAGCATCTTTGAGTATGAAATGTAGCTAAATTCAGGCTTGCATGTGGGAAGATGATACTTCACTTCATGCATGACACTAGAAAGTATAAAAGCCATAACCTTTGCTCTTAATTTTCTAATAAAGGTGTTATCTTACATGAATATTTGGTTCAAGTTATAGAAAATATTATCTTTCGTTCTGGTTGTGTGTTATCATGCAATGTATGAGTGAAGGAATGGATTGCATGTTGGTCTTTGTGACATATTTTCGTGCAGAATTTTTCCTATAGAATACCATGTTAGTAATTTAGTCATAACTCTCTCCATACATATTCAAATCAAGTAAACGTTTGAAGCTAGACCCTCATATACTTCATTTGGAAATTGTTCATTTCAATTTTGAGATCATCTACTAGTTCAAAAATATGGTTAAATTCAGTACATGTGCACAATAATTGTGGCCTACCTTCTTAGGGTATTTTGCATGTATCTCAATTTCTCTATGATTGAGCAGAAAATTTTGGGAATTTAAAACTAGATTTATTAATGCACCTAAATTTTAATTATGGGTATTTTTTGTTCAGCACGAGTCTGCAATCCTGACCCCTTTACATTCTAGAGAGTATAGCTCTCCCTACAGAGCTTACATCAATCAATTTATTTATGCTCCTCAAATTAGACATACTAGTACAAAACAGATCAGCCCAAACGGTTGGAACCGTTTGGGAAAACCCCCTCCCAAACGGTTACAACCGTTTGGGCGATGTAAAACACCCGTTTGGGATGTTGCCCAAACGGTTGAAACCGTTTGGGCTAATTTTTCGCCCAAACGGTTACAACCGTTTGGGCCAAATGTTAGCCCAAAGGTTGTAACCGTTTGGCAAAAAGTTAGCCCAAACGGTTGAAACCATTTGGGCAATTTTTCGCCCAAACGGTTTCAACCGTTTGGGCTATTTATTTTAATAGTTATATATTAAATAACATTAGAGACAATCATACAAAATATACTTTGCTAAATATCAAACGGTTCCAATGTCTCACAATGAAATCAAAATATTCTCATACTTCGCTAAATATCTAATGTTATATATTCATACACAATGTTTACTCAATTTACTTAGAGACAAAACATATACATACACAATGATTATTCAATATCTCACAATGAAAAACATTCAATGTTATATATTTTTCTCTAATATCCAAAATGTCTCTTTACTCAATTTACTTAGAGACAAAACATATACATACACAATGATTATTCAATATCTCACAATGAAAAACATTCAATGTTATATATTTTTCTCTAATATCCAAAATGTCTCAAATATCCAAAATGTCTCAAACATCCAAAATAACATTAGGAGTGGCCTAATCCATCCACAGTCAAGGAACAGAAAAAATTCCTCGAAGAAAGGCTAATGCCAACACGAAGCTTACAAGATTAGTGCTCAACCCATAATATGCCAATCTTTCACAACATTCATTTGCTGGAGAGGAAACGATAAGCTTGATAATGAGAATGATGCAAAATAAATCAAGGTGGCTCTAATAATTATATTGACTGTACCAAGAATGTAGGGGCAGGCTCTCCATCTTCCTGTGCTCTCTTTTACTGCAGGGTTTCCTCTGATGTCTGTGGTTCCGTCTCTTGTATATTTGTCTTCGTTGTCGCCCTCCATGGATCCTCCTGATATTTGAGATACTGATGCATCTATTTCTGCCTTGCCCTCTGGAGGAGCAGCTGAATCCTCGTCGACGGCCCCAATCACGTCCCCCAAACTAACCTTTTCTGGGTTTTTATCCGCAGGACACATAAGCCTACTCTCGTCACCCGTGCTCGTCGGCACTGCAGGATCCTCTACGGCCGTCGTCATGACCATGATGCATCTTCTTGCTAATAGTCTCCTTCATCTTCATCTCGGATCCTCTACGGCCGTCGTCATGACCATGATGCATCTTCTTGCTAATAGTCTCCTTCATCTTCATCTCTGGCTTCTTCACCTTGTCCTTCACTCTCTACATCATTGGCTTCTTCTCATGCCCCTGCTCTCCTATTTCTTCATCTACAAAAAACAAAATTCGAATGAAATTATTATTACATTATTCTGAGACGAAACGGACTTTTGATCTGCTTACTATGTGGGTGTTCTTGGTGATGAGCCTGCATTGCTTTTTTAATTTGTTAACTTCCCCCTTTGTTTTCAGAAGTTATTGGTGATGAGAGCAACTCCAATGGTGGTGCCAAGAGGGGTGCTCACATGAGAGAGAAGATAGCTCCCTTGGTGCAATGCAATAGCTAGAGCAAGGCTAATGCCAAAACAAAGCCCCTAATTTAGGGCACGCGGCATCAGAAATAAAATTGTTGACTAATTAGTCGCTTGCAACCAGTTTGACATTGTTGGCTATTGTAGCATTGCCTTGATTCCGGATATCCTCCATGTAACTTACAAGATTGGTGCTCAACCCATAATATGCCAATCTTTCACAACATTCATTTGCTGAAGAGGAAACGATAAGCTTGATAATGAGAATGATGCAAAATAAATCAAGGTGGCTCTAATAATTATATTGACTGTACCAAGAATGTATGGGCAGGCTCTCCATCTTCCTGTGCTCTCTTTTACTGCAGGGTTGCCTCTGATGTCTGTGGTTCCGTCTCTTGTATATTTGTCTTCGTTGTCGCCCTCCATGGATCATCCTCCTGATATTTGAAATAATGATGCTTCTATTTCTAGGAAATTTTACGAGCAAATCACCAAATATATAATACCAAAAGTAAATTGTACACTGCAACAATCACAGAGCACTTGCAATAGCAGCTTTGCCTGTTTTGCATGGTGAAAATAAACTTCTAATTGATGATACAATTCACTAATAAATCAATTACACAAATGATATTCATGATCTCTGAAGGAAAGAAGTTAGTACATATTTAATCTTAGCTGCTTCCTACAGCGATGCTCTTCCTAGTTTTGCGAAATATAGTCAGTAACTAACCAAACAATACCGAGAATTGCATGGTGCATACAACAATAACAAAGGCACAGAGCTTTCACAAGTTGCATCATGGCTTGTTTTTTCAGGGTGAAGAGCTGCTACTAACTGATGATATTAAAGAGCAAGTGTCAATTCATGAAACCAATTGGGCAAATCATATTCATAATCAGAAATGAAATTTATTACAATTATCATATGTCATGGAAGTTGACTAATTAGTCGCTTGCAACCCATGTTGGATGCTGCTCACTCGTCCAATAGCTTCATATCTCGAGTATGTTATCAAATAAATCCTTTTCTTATATGGGCAATCCTAGAATAATTAGTACAAACCTTCCTCTTAGTTCACTAGCAGTTTGTAAATTTAAGAATTGATAATCCCTCAAAAAAGTTTCATCAGTGCAAGAGTTACGCATACTATGAAGAGTTTTAAAGACTTCATTTGAATGTCGTAAATAAAAGAAAGTTAAAGAGAGGTATACATATATGCATACCGGAAGATCATACGAACTTGCTTGGAAAAGATGCAAATTAATTTTATTAATAAGAATATTGTATGGCGTTTAAAAATGGCTTAAGTAAATTGTACCAAGCAACTAATGAAGTAATTGTACAATGATAAAACTACACATGAATAAGCTCTCCCTTCAACAGTTGAAAACTATAAAATCACACAGTACACAAAAGCAAGGTGGAGATTTCCAGGGTTCTAGCATGAGCCACACAAACCGTTTCAACCGCGTTTGGGTCGGCTAAAATTGCAGGCAAGAGTAGCCAAATAAATACAAGAAAAAGAAAGGAAAAATAAATGTATACTAACCGAACAAGAAATACACATAATAGTCTAACTGGCTCACTACTACAGCCAAGAGTAACCTATAAAACATTATGTAATGCAAAAAACATATTGACTAGACACAAGTTAAAATCTCTAACCTGACAACCCAAATGGGCATAAGAGCGAGCATTCTAACATGTAATTGTATAATGATCTAATCTATTACAAAAGTATGTGCAATATTTCTTGAAAGCTACATTAATCAATAATATGGTGCATACAACAATAACAGATGTGTATCCGGAACTTTATTCTGTGAATCTTGCTACACCATATTTTGCAAAAGAAAAGTTAAAAACCACACCTTCGTTGAACCAAGGAACACTGCCATTCCCTTAGGGAAGTTGTGCAAACTAATACTTGCAACTTATAGAAAGGAAAATAATTCATTAGATAAAACCAAGAAGGTGGTCATTAGTTATCTGACAGACAAATGTAGTTTGTGAGTCGGGAAACTAAGCAGATGAGTATAATAGCTCAGCTTTCTGAATTTGCATAACCAAGTCATACATCAAGTCCTAATTTATACACTAAAAAATATAAAGAAGAATCTACTAGAAAACTATACAAAGGTATCAATCAAACTCTTTTAGTTGCATCATTTAGATCATAATGAAGGTGATGACTTCCAAAATCCAATATCAGACCTTGCTAGATTGCCAGCAATTTAATAATAATAATAACAATAATAATAAGCCTCACCCAAATGTTACCCTTTAGAAAGCCAACAGAGTTCAGAGCATCATGGGTCAAGTCCAAAAATGACATGCTCAGCATGAGGCCAGCGGCAAAACCCTGATCAGAAAAAATCAATCTAAACTGAAATCTTCCTTAAGAGCAACAGGAAAAGGGAATCAAGAATAAAAATCACCTGTAGAAGACCAAGTAATTTGAGATTGGGAGTATGACCGATAAGGCAAATAAAAAGGGTTTGATTCTTCATAGTTCGTCAAGACTCGGCATTACCTCAAACAACGAACCCTAACAACAAAACTCCCTCCACCCACTCGAGCGGAACCTCAACCGGAAGGAGGCGGAGTGGCCACCAGCGCCGCGGTGCACGTGGACGCAGCCGCATGCGGAAGAGGCAGAGGGTGAGGAAGGGAGAGGGTGAGGAGGAGGGCTCGTCGGCGGCGAAGGCGGAGGCGCCCGAGGGAGCGCCCGTGGGGACAGTCTCTGAGGGGATGGAGACGATGATGATGATGAAGAGGATGGAGACGACGATGATGAGGGATCTGAGGGGAAAGAGACGACGATGATGATGAAGAGGAGGCGGTTCTTGGGAGTTTGAGATGAGGAATTTCAGAGATTGGGCTTAGGGATTTTAGAGGGGGCGGGTTTTTTGAGTTTGGGGAAAATTTTTGGCGGGAAGCCAGTTAGGAAGAGAACGGAGAAAGAGTAAATGTTTTATTTACAAAAATAACTAAAACACCCAAACGGTGTAACCCATTTGGGCTAGCATCCCAAACGGTTAGAACCGTTTAGGCTTAGCGTTTGGGAATTCCTTTTAGCCCCAACGGTTTTAACCGTTTGGATTTTGTTATCCCAAACGGTTTAAACCGTTTGGGCTGTATTCATTTGCCCAAACGGTTATGAGAACCGTTTGGGCTGTTCTGTTTTGTACTAGTGCAATGTAGAGGAATAATTTGAACATTGTTTCACTAATTTTGGATATTACTTGGCTCCTCATCTATTCACTTGAATTTTCCAACTTGATCTACACTTGTAGTTTCTACAAGTCTCGCATGTTCTGAGTATAACTTGAGCTATGTACATTAGTTTTGCAAATCACTTATTGTCCTAAAAATTAGACACAAATAGGAGTTAGATAGCACTAGTTTGTAAAACCCCGTAAATTTGAAAATATTATTGTGAATAATGATAAAATGATTTTATTGGTTATGGTCTTCTGGACGAATGAACCTGATTGTAATCGATTATATATTATATATATATATATATATAATATATATATATATTATTATAATATATATATATATTATATATATATATATATAATATATATATATATATATATATATATATATATATATATATATATATATATATATAATAATATATATATATATTATATATATATATATAATTATATATATACAACACACATGAATTCCTCATTCATTTTCTCTTCATGTTCTAAGTAGCAACCATATCATCTCAAACAATAATCTTTCAAACCCTTGATTTTGGAGAAGATTTGAGAAGCAACCGGATAAGAGGAGGGCGAGATCTGCGGCTTTGGTGAAGGAGGATCAAGTCTCTCTTGTGTTTGAGAGATCAACACAAATTTTTGAGGTGGGTTTCATCTCCTCCAAACCCATCCCTGTTTTCTTCGTTTTATTAGATTTTTATAAAACCTATTTTATGTGTAAAGATCACCCCTTTAATCTATATGACGTAAAGATTTAATCTTTCTGATTTAAAAAGTTATAAAACATATTCTTTAATTTGGGTTGAAGGTTTAAAGTAAATCTAACATGAGATTTTTGTTAATCTATTTTCTTTCATGATGAATGTACAAACATAAACATGTCAGGGTTTTTAGAATCCCTCAAAATTTTATATTTGTGTTTTCATATATCTGAGTAAACCCAAATTGCACTAAATCAAAATTTTATATATGAGTTTCTTTAAAAAATTTTGACTTTGATGAATTTTTGATAAAATCTAACATTTTTTGTCTATAACCGGTCGGTCGAATGATCAGAAGGATCAGCCCACCGAAACTAACTTTTCTCAGGGGTTGAAAATCTTTTTCTGGTCGGTCGACTAATCATGAAAATCAGTCAATCGATTGGTGAACAGGACTGAAGAATCTTCTCTACTGATTAGTCAACAGGACTGAAGAATCTTCTATGGTCGGTCGACTGAACATATGCATCGGTCGACCGATCAAGGGTGGATTTTGTGCATGTGTTGTGCACGTTGCCGCTCGGTCGACCGATGAGATATATCAATCGACTGGTCTAATGTTGTTTTGTATACGTTGATCTTTCCCACGTGCGTTTGATCGTAAGCACAAAGTGCGAGTCGCATGTCGATACACGTGCGAAACCATGAGAGGGAATGTACTGTATTTGAGCATGCACAAGCCTATTGATATGAGTAGTCTAATGTTTTACGTATGTCACGATAGGGAGTGACAATTATTTTGGTTTACGATAGTTGTGGATGCTTGAGTGCATTAGTCCGTGCACCACAATGAGAACGTGGGCGACTACACTTTGAGTGCGTTAGTCCGTGCACCATAATAAGAACATGGTCGACTACACTCCGTGATGCATCATTGTTTTAGTAGTTGAGTGCGCATGTCTGTGTACCACATGATATAGTGGGCGACTGCACTCCGAATGTGTTAGTCTATGAGCCGCATGATAGTGCAGACGACTATACTATACATATTTAGTAAGCTTAGAACTTAGACATGTACTATTTGTGAGCATAGTCTAACACTTGACTTTCTTATGTGACAATATATACTTTGACGAGGTTTTCACAGGATTGTACTTTTGTTTCCATACCACTTACTCGAGGGTAGCGTGAGATATTACAATACGATTTGTCTTGGATGAGATGTTGATGCTGTATTTTCTTTGTTGATTTAATTATTTATTGGATTTGGAGTTGATATTTAGCGATCCATAATTTCAGATACATGGTATATATATGAGGGTTTCCTTGTTTGGATTATTTCGCTCGATGTACTCATCTCGTGTAGTGGATTTCTAAATCTTAACTCCTCTTAGATTTAGATATATGAATTATATATTTTTTATTAGTGTTTTTATACACCTAACCCCCTTCCCCTGGGGGCGGTGGAGATATTCTCGCTAGCGCTTTGATGCTTGTTGTTTTTTTCTTTTTCACACATCGAGTCAGGGGTTCAGAGAGCCGCAGGTTGATGATGACTTAGTGTAGATTTTTGTCGATTATAAGTAGTTAAATTAGTGCTCCACAGCAGACTATTTATGAGTTTAGTTTTCTTTTAGTGGTGCATTTCATTTTGGAGGCTGAGTGCCTATGTATTTTTGAGTTGACTCTCATGTATTAGAGATTCAACGTTCTTATTCCAGTTTAACAGATGTATTTTCTTTTCATTTTGGAGGCTGAGTGCCTATTTTGGAGGTTGATGAAGATTGAGGATGAATTCCTCAATTGAAAATGCAAGTCTCCTCTTTATAAAAGCAAACCCCAAACTTAAAACAAACTAAACAAACTTTTAATCTCTTTTAAAACTTGTTTAAAACTCTCTCAAGTTGTTGAAAATGGTTAGGGTATACATAGGATGGAAGAAACCAGCTTAAGAAAACCCCAAAAACCCCATAAAATTCATTAAAATACACAAAATCTGGAAATAGCCGTTACTGTGCAACGGTCGGATTTATAAGTCGACTTATAGTCTACTTAATATAAGTCGACTTATAGTCGACTTAATATAAGTTGACTTGATATAAAACGTAAGTCGACTTGCCAGATGAAAATAACACATAAAAATCGGGTCATAAGTCAACTTGAAAAATAGTATAAGTCGACTTGCGATGTCTGATAAGTCGACTTGGCCGAGAGATTTTGCACATTCCAGAGCATTTCATAAGTCGACTTATCAGACCTGATAAGTCGACTTATGAACATGCACAGACACTATGCATGTCAAAAATCTGACTTTTAAACCTTGTTAAAAATATTAAATAAATTCTAAAAAATATAAAATTTTGGAAAATGATTGTAACCATGATAATGAATATGTTACAAAAAGAATTTTTCAATTTGCATTCCCCATTTGTAAAATCTCATTATTTTGCAAAATCACATATGTATGAACATGTTGAAAACTTGATTTTGCCAAAATAACTTAAACAAAACTTTGAAACACTTTAGAAAGGATTTATAGACTTATAAAAGATACGAAAATAGTGCAAATAAGTCTTTAATCCATAAATATAATATTTTGCATAAAAACACCTATATTTACGAAAATCACAAATATATATATATATATATATATATATATATGCTTATAGAATAAACACATATTATGTAAACCCTAAACTAATTTACCCAAGCTTGATAGATCTTAATTGTAGCTTGACTTGGTTACAGATGAAGCTAGATCTTGAATATGACTTGATGTGCAATGGCTTCATACCGATATTCCGCCAACCTCCATTAGATATGATCATTGTGACGCAATCCATCCAACCTCCAACTTATTGTTTATCTAGAATACCTAATAGGAAAACATAAATACTAGACAAACAATATTATGAATTGTTTGTAATCATCAAAATAAGATTAGAAGATGTAGGCTCATAACATGAGACCTAACAATCTCCCAAATAAGATTAGAAGATGTAGGCTCATAACATGAGACCTAACAATCTCCCCCTTTTTTATGATGACAAACAATCTACACAAAGAGTAACATGAGACCTAACAATCTCCCCCTTTTTTATGATGACAAACAATCTACACAAAGAGTATATAAGATATAAAATAAGGCACAATACTCTTAAAATATACTCACAATCAACTTGTTTCTCCCCATTTAGCAACATCAAAATGGGGAAACAAATGAATAAGAGAGCGAAATCTCCCCCTATCATAAAGCATAGGTGAGTATAAACATAAAATGATATAGGGATTGCTCCCCCTATCAAAATGACATATGGAAAATATGCAATTATGAACATGGTAACAAATGTGAGTAAGCATGGATATAGAATATCCTAAACACAACTCACATTAAAAAAAGACCAAGTGACCACTTATATGTGTTATTAAGAGTAGAGTCACAAGAGTCTAAAACAATCAAACATCAAATGATTTAAAGAAATTAGAAATTATCCACCATAAAAAATGATTGATTGAGAGAACAAATAAACATATAAAAGGTATCTCAATATCCAATCATAAAGTATTATTTGGATATAAACAAAAGTAGATCATGAAAAAAAATAAAATCATGAACCTCATGAAGGTTCAAATAAAAGCCTCAAATGATACAAAAAGAAATATTGTATTATTTTCGACAAAAGCAAGAGAGGTGAGCATAACAAGCTCTTGAAACAAGTTTC